TGCAACGTCTGTGGGCATTAAATCTCGGATGGGATGATCCATTGCCTGTGGATCTCAGAGAGCAATGGTTAAAGTATGTTACAGAAGTACCTCTATTATCACAGTTCAAGCATGAAAGGCATGCAACGGTTCCAAACAAAACTTATTTTCAAATATTAGGTTTTTGCGACGCCTCCTCATTAGGATATGCTGCTGTTATATACATACGTACCACTAATGATAATGGTGATAGTAAGGTCAGCCTGTTGATCGCTAAGTCTAAAGTAGCGCCATTAAAGAGTGCCAATGAATGCATGGTACCACGTTGCTGGACTCAATAATCCAGCTGACGTAGCTTCTCGTGGTGCATTACCGTCTGCATTGCTAGCCACTACTGAGTGGTTGTCTGGCCCGTCATGGTTGGCCAATAAACAAGATTCCTGGCCAATTAAAACTATGGCGGTGTTCAGAAATGTACCTGAGATTCCAGAATTAAAACCCAATATTACCTTATTAGTAACTGATAAGGAACCAGATGTGTTTTATGTTCTAACAGAAAGGTTCTCGAGTTTTCAAACTATAATAAATGTTGTGGTTCGCTGTTTACAATTTGTGGAGCGCATACGTAAGTCCAAGCGTCAGTCTATATTATCTGTTGAACGCTGGCGTGAAGCGCAAATTATTTTAGTCAAATCGGTTCAACGCGAACATTTTTCTACTGACTTTCGGGCCTTAGAAAGAGGTGAAGAGTGTCAATCGTCTCTGAAGAAGCTTTGTCCCTTTGTTGATGCCCTAGGTTGTATTAGGGTGGGGGGTAGGCTATCTGAACGCCTTCCCTATAAACACAAGCATCCCTTGTTATTGCCAAAAAAATCTAATTTTACAAATAGTGTGATAGATTATTATCACAAAATCTATCTTCATGTTGGACCACGTACACTCCAAAGTCTGATTTCTCAAAGATTTTGGATTATTTCGGCGCGTAGCATTATTAGGTCACGCTTATCTAAATGTGTTTCATGTTTTAAGGTTCGACCCACTGTTCATCAACCTTTAATGGGTTCATTACCTAAGTTTCGGGTTGAGGATATCCACCCATTTCACACTGTAGGAGTTGACATTGGTGGCCCTTTTAGTACAAAAGAAAGTAACAGACGTAATGCTAAATTGTCCAAGGCATATTTATGTCTTTTTGTATGTTGCTCTACGCGTGCAGTACACCTGGAAACCATATCGTCCTTATCTACTGATAGTTTTCTAGCGGCATTTGATCGATTTACAGCGCGTCGTGGACTGTGCCATACCATAGTCTCAGACAATGGTCGAAATTTTATCGGTGCTGGTTCGCGTCTAAAAGAAGTAGCAAACTTCTACAAAGATAATTCAGAGGCTCTTGGTAATCAGTTTTATATACGCAAAGTTCATTGGACATACAATCCACCCACAGGCAGTCACTTTGGTGGGTTGTATGAAAGCGGAATTAAATCAACAAAAACAATTTTAAAACGCGTTATAGGTCTCAAAACACTTTCATTTGAGGAGCTTAGCACCCTCTTCGCGCGTATTGAGGCAGTACTAAACTCGCGTCCAATCGCTAGTTTGTCAAGCGATCCTAATGAGTATGAAGCTCTCACACCGGGCCATTTTCTAATTGGTCGCGAGTTGCTGGCAGTGCCAGAGTATCCTTTGACAAACGAAACTGTACATGCACGAGATAGGTGGCAGACAATACAACAGGCCTCACAACGGTTCTGGCAGCTTTGGAAACAGGATTATTTGCACACACTCCAACAACGGCACAAATGGTATAAGAATACCCCTAATCTCAAAATCGGTGATTTAGTCCTTGTTCATTCGAGCTCTCCTCCATTAGAATGGGATCTAGGAAGAGTGATTTCTTTACATCCCGGGCCTGACGGGATTGTACGCGTGGTCAAGGTTCGTACCAAGAATGGTCAATTTACACGGCCTGTAGTTAAACTAAGTCCGCTCCCTTTGGAGCAGTAATTTTCTTAATATTTAAGCACATACACATTTTATTAGATGTAAGATCTTTATATTTTCTATTTATACAGTCCACTCATATCATATATATGTAAGAAGATAATTTAGTAATTAGTAACATATGTTCTCAACAGTATTCATATACTACTATCATGTATTTGTATATACATGCATTATCTATTATTATTAGCTCATAGATTCAAAATAGTTGGTTCATAGACTTAATTGCAATTGGAAATCCTGGCGGATTTCGGTGGGGGGAATGTTCGCGCTGGTCTTTGCCTCATACTGGGAGTCTATAGCCGTGCACTTAAAAAAAAAAAGAAAGGCGGGTAACTTGTTCGCATTGCCGCCATTGTCGCAAGGTCGCATCAAATCATTAATTCAATATTAAAATAATTCTGTTATAATTTTCAAATAAAATACAACAAAACAAGAAAAGACTGTATGTGTATCATAATGAGTTCATGAAAAGCAGTGCAGTGTGGTAATTCTGCCGAAAGTTCCCGGGAACGAAGATTGTGCAAGTTTGGCGACAAGGTCAGTGTGCATTTTTGATTCCCAGTACCTATTATTGGAAGTTAATTTTAAAAATATATCATTATTCGAACATTCTGTATCATTGTTCAGACAGAGGTTAGGTAGTTTCATTTAACCTGTGAATGCATCAATGTATATTTAAATTGAGTGTTAATCTAAAAATGCTAATTGATTGTAATTGGACCTTTGGTTACCTCGCATTTATGGTCTAATAGTGACCGTATCGAGTTAGCTAATACAGGTTTGTGTTGTAACCGTATGAATCATGATTTGCTCCAAGTTCTGCACGTCTTTGCCAATATTGTTGGCATTTCCGTTGCAATATTGATTTCATACATTATTGTTTCCGTTTCTTCAAAACTTTTTAATTAAAATTGAAATGAAAACACGCTATGCGATGGTCCGCTTGAATGGCGACTGTAGTCTGTAGAGTATATAAACAGTACTACTGTATTACAGTCTGTTAACATACTCTGTCTGTTCTGTCCTCTGTCTCATCGATATCTGCTGTCTGTAATTTACAGACACCGGTGAGACAGAGGTACCCAAACACACCACTTCGTACAAAGTCTACTACGGCAAAATTAATGTTTACTTTACGCTCCGCTTCTTGTATAGAGACTTTATTAAATACAACACTTAGTAATATAATGTAGTAAGAATTTGTAGGAAACAGTTTTTGTAATATATATCTAGTTAGTTGTGTAGTATGTTACGTACTTTTGCCAAATTCACAAGCCCGTAGGGCACGACGTATAATAAAAGTTTACACGTTCGTAATCAGTAAACTTTTATTATACGGCGTGCCTTAAGTTTCATTATATTTTAGAAAATATTGTAGTAGAAAAAACCTCTTAGTATTATATACTATAATACATATAAATAGACAGTGGCATTTCGCTGTTTAGCATGAAATTAAACGCGTAGCTGAAAAAAATATTTTTTACACCATAATGGATACAAACCGACACCTGGGTCAGAAAGAGATACAACTGAAATTGGTTATTTATTTATAGACGTTTCAAAATTGATACATGACTATTGTATCGAATCAGTATGATCTGTTAACTAATATCAACCCAATGATATTGAGATGTACCACGTAGTAATTCCATATTTCATGGTTATTGTAAGAACGAATAGACAATGTTATCGGTGTCTTAAATTTAGTTTCAAAATAACACTGAATAAACGAATTCCATTGATATCGACATTGAGATTAGATTTTAGAGTAGACGTGCTGTTAGCAAAGGGTCAACAGCATCACTTGTACATTGCTGACTGTTTAAGAATGATTTAGAGCAGTGGATTTAAACCTTACAACGATTTATCAAAATTTCTGTCACGCCATGGACCACCAACTATTCGAGGACAACATGCAGCACCTAAATACAAATGAATAAGGGGTTAAATTTGTTGTGTGTTGTATTGTTATATATACAATTTTTATTTTATTTTTTACTACAGAACTCTTCGTGTTTTTATAGCGTTTGGAGAATGGTAGACCGCAGACCATTTATGTCGCTTTTATGGACCACAAGTGGTCACCAGACTATCGGTTGGGAACCACTGATCTAGAGAAATCTTCTGCAGGAAACTTATTTCCAGAGTGTTTACAACAAAATATGTATAAGTATTTTGTAACCGTCTTTTGGCAATGAATAAATAACATAATAACAAAAATGAACAATCATGTCTCCAAAATAATAATTTGTAAATATTTCTGCCAAAATGTGAGTTGAGGTATTTTCTTTTCACAGACTGTGTGCGATGTGGTAAAAAATATATAATTATGAGAAAAACAATCCGCGAATCATGGCTTTGTGCCGAAATAGCATACAGTTAGTCACTATAGTGATGGGCATTGCAACGCGTAGTTCTTATTATCGAATAGCGACTGAAGCTACAATAATAACGGTCTTAATTAGTGATTATATCCTATATATTAGTGATACTATATAGGCAAATACTATACCTACATATACCATGACTCTACTTATATTTCTAACGAGCGACAACGCATTCTGTTACAGTATGTATATGTAGAATCAATGTACCTAAGTGGCTCATAATGATCCCTTTCGGAAGATTATGTGGGAATTTACGAACATTATGTGAATTTAAGATTGATTTATGTCAAGTTTGAAAACTTTGGCAAATATTTTTTTAAATAATATATGATCCTTATTTAAATATACTATAAAAATTATAGCAGTAAAAAGTGTTAAAATTTTTATAAAATGGTTTATAGTTTTAAAATACAAAAACAAAAATACACTAGATTTTTATTATACATAATCTAAAATTACTAGTAACAAACATTCTAATTACGTTGTTTTATATACATATTAAAAAAACGTAATAAGTCAATAAATAGTAAATATTTATTTACGATTTTGAATTAATCACATGCCGTCATGTATCGATCCCCACTGACCTCATCGCATCCCTACTCATCCCGCGCTCCCGATCCGTCCCACGCGGCTTGTGCTCTGCCGCCAGCCGCCCGCCAGGCAGCGCATCCGAACGAACGAACAACCCGCACCATTCACAATACGCAACCGTGTTTACGAACGCAGCCTTCTATTTTTGAAAATTCAAATTTGGAATAAATTTACATTTTTGAGTGCAGTGACGATTTTTGAAATTAATTTGGATTTTGTCCAGGGATATTTATGTGAGTTTTTTATTATTTAATTACTTAAATTCTAGTATGTACATTTAATTAAATTTATTGGATTACCGCGCTTTTAATAATAGGCTAACGTAGACGTGATATCCATGATCATGATGCTAATATTTTGAAGTTCAATTGATTATTTACGAGTGAGTCTCTATTTAAATATATTTTTTGTTGATAAAGATTAGTATTTGTGACATCTACTAGCATACAAATAAATTAGTGAAAAGTTGCTTGTCACTAATAATATAATTAAAATGAAATTTTTAGTTAAATACCATTTTAATTAAGTTATTATATTAGCTTTATGGTGATAAATAACGACATGTGACCATGAAAGTAAACGAGCATTGTTTGTGGAAGTTCTGATAAATTCTATTCCTTTCTGTCTATGATCTACACCGTGACAATGATGAGTAACCAATGACTTGACTAACTTAATTAACTAGTTGACCCGACCTCGTCTACGTCCGTAGTTTCCGTACGTTTGTATTTTCCCCGTCTTTACAATATTTTTTATAACTCCACTCTTATGGAGCGTAGTGTGTCTATCCAACGCTAAAATAATTTTCAAAATCAGTAGTATTATTTCGGAGATCCAACATTCATTATAATATTAGTATTCCGATTTTTCAGTTTTCTATATTTAATGTAATTCAGCAGACAAAAAGCTTTTTAAGCTGTGATAACGTTAACATTGCAGTGATGTTATTATATTGTCTTGTGTATTTAATAATTACTGTACAACGAGTAAAGATTTGGTTTTATGTATGTTTGTAACAGATAAAATTAAAAACAACTTAACTAATTTATTAAATTTCTTGACTGTCTGCCAAATACCTGTGAAACAATATAAGTGAATTGTTACAAAATGCCTCGATGGTCAAGTAGTTTGGTACACCGCTTTTCTTCTCATGGTCCCGAGTTCGATTCCTTGCACGATACAAACATTTGTATTCATCAGTATCATTATATCGGTCTGGGAGTTTTCGATGTATGCGTTTAAAAAAAAGTAATTATTTATATTAGTTGTCTAGTATCCATAAAACAAACTCTGTTTATCTTGAGACTAGATGACATTGTGTGAATTGTCCAGGGGTATTAGGTATAATGTAGCACGAGTGCATTATGTCAAACATATATAGGGGTATATATACAAAACTTACACACTTATGAGCACCCAAGCTAAGAGAACCCCAACTGTTTAGTCTCGATAAAATATAGAACAATGTAATCACTCTAACACAATGTCTCGTACTCGTATATCTAGTGAGTGTGTACTAGTAATTCAGATTGGTCATACTCTTGAAATACAAGCATGCGACCACGCGTCATTCCTAAATAAAGCACCAAAAGTACGAGTATATATGTGTGACGAATGATTTGTATACCAAATACATACTGATAGACTATCTTTACGTTATTTTCATTTTTATTAGTATATTTCCTATGGAAAAGTATTAGTGATTCCCTTGAATTCGTGCGCCTACATAGTATAGCATTTGTAGATGCTGTTGATGAACAAACAGCAACAGTGAATAAAACATCGATTTTTTTATACTACCTTGATTGCAAACATGCTTACCGCCCATCTGATGGTAAATTGTTATTGTACCTTAAAGACGCTCGAAACACCAGGGGTGTGCACGCACGTTGCCTACCTTTAAGATGCACGTTGCCTACCCTTAATATACCTTAATAAAGTTTTTTATAACACGATGGTGGCAAATTAGCATACGTCCCATCTGATGTAAACGTAAACGGTTACCGTAGCTTAAAGCCTATAACACCAATTTCACGATGTAACACGTACGAGTTGCCGACCCTTCAGATATCTTAATAAGAAGGGTTTCCTGAAAAACTTCAGGCTGTAGTCTCGCGAGAAAACCGCGGCAGGTAGTTCATTCCACAATGTAAGTGATGTAAGGAAGCTCCTCTGAAATAGTACTATTGTCTTAATATTGAATTAAAGGTGTACTGAATGTATGTACAAAATTAATTACTTCTTCGTTTGGGGGGTTCCTACAGGTTTCTTTGTCTTATATTATTTATCATGCGATGGGCGCAGATGGCTGCATTACAGTTTTATATAAACAAATATAGTTGTTTACGTTTAACATGTTATTTTATTGATTTTGTATTGGTTTAAATAAATTCTTTAATTCTTTAGTCAACACATTCAGTGAAAATTCCATACTCATTCCTCCAGTTGAAAGTTTAATAGTATACAAATAATAGACACACAGATAGGTTTCGCTTACTAACAGTGTTCCCAATCTATTATAATGAAGAGAAGGAATCTGATGTACCTGTTAAATGACAGGTAACGAGAAAATCGTTTATCGTTTTGTGAGAAAAAATGGAGATAATTGAAATGCAACCAATACGAGAGCGATATTTTAAGGTTGGCTACTAAGTGATTGCGGATTTTGTCCATAGGTCGAGGTTGCACTTTCTTTTGTTCCGTTAACTTATTTCAAGCATAAAACCTATATTATAACATTTTTTATTCTCTGGACCTTTGCCTAGCATTTATTAAAAAAGATATATCAAATAGTACTTTATTTTTTTTTGTTACAAAAAAGAATATTTACAACAAATAGGATTAGAAAATGTAAAAACAATATAAAGTCAAGGAGTTCTCTGCATATGGTACACTGATGTATAAGTTTTGTTATTTCGTTAATACAGTCAATGCTATGCTATACTGCGCCGTACGGAATTGTACCTATAGTGTTGTCAACATTTAACATATTGGGGTTGACATGTTTGGTAATAAAAACCTCAAAATTGATTTATATAAAAAAAAAATTTAACCTGATAGTATAAAAAGAAATAAATACCTTCATTACTAGTGATTCACCCCTTCTTCCCTGGGGTGTTCATGACTTGTAACTTTTGTATTGTAATATACTAATGTAATAAGTAATGTATTTGTGTATATTTTTCTAGAAAAATATTCCATGCACAGAACCAGCTCATTTCCCAATATATACTAATGGTACAAATGCCAAAGAGTGTGTCTCTTTCAAAAAAGTACATGAAATGGCGGATGACTGTTAGTAAGTTATTAATGTAATAACAATAAATTTTATTGCTAACCACATGATAGTTAGATAACCCCAATTTTAAAAAAAAATGTTATGAATAAATGATTATTATCCGAATTACCAATCTGGACCCTTTTTTTTAACTTGGTAAAATTCCTCTTGGAGACCCGACCACCAGGGGAGGTAGAAGGGTACTGCCGGACTCTAACCGGCTAAAAATCTTAAAATGTTCCTTATCTTAACCTTTGGTCAGAGGTACGGGCAGTACGCAAGCAATCTTCTGGAACTCAGACGGCTATCAATTCGGAATCTAACCCGCGACCATCGGAAGTAAAACGGTAATCTAAATCGTTACACTACCGAGGCCATCCGTTAATTCTATTGTAATATGGTATTACGAAGTAAGTCATAACATGCATACACTGCAGTTGTGGGTAAACGCACGTGCACACGTTTTGAATGTCACATCAATGTATGGGAGCTCCAATTTAGATGCGCACGCATAACCCGTCGGATGCACAACAATAGTTCTAGGAATGTAAGGGGAAACGTAATACTAATAACGTTAACGTTATGTTGTAATTGATATTCTGACAAGTTAACTATTAAACAAGCAACAAAACCATAGCTAGATATAGAAAAATATTGATATCTTAATAAATGATATAAATACTTTAATTTCAGTATATAAAATACACCGTGTCAATGAATTAATAGTTTGTTGTGTTAATAGATTTTACGCCCTTGGGGATTACATATAAAACACCCAGACCAATACAAATAATATATTAATGAATACTAATCATGATTGTATTGGTCACGGTACAAACATTTGTATCACGCATGAATACAAATGTTTGTATCGTGCGAGGAAATGTCACTGCAACCTTCGGAAGTAAAGCGTTGGGCTCTCTCCTGGACTGTAGACTATCGAGGTCGTCTTGATCAGGGATAATGTGGTAGTATCGTTTCTTTCGGTTAAACTATGAAATTCTTATATTCCCTAATTTTAAAAAGTTGCAATTTTTTCATTTCAACTTGATTTTGTTACATGAAATAAAACGTCGAAATCTGTGAGTTTACTACCGCGATTTGCACCTAAAAGTCGAGATTTAAAATCTAGACAACACCTAACTGCAAACTTTGTGTATCTATATATTAGCGGTAGAATTGCCGCCTGCCAAGTTGTTAAAATATATAAATGTCAAGTGTTTTCTTGACGTCGAAAACTAGCAATGTCTCTGACAACCCCATTTGGGATTACAGTCGAGACGGTGTGTTAGTTTGTTTATTAAAATTAACTTTTATTATTATTATAAAAGAAATAATGACTCAAAATGATTATAATTAACTAACAATAGCATGGTTCTATTTTCAATTGAGTTTTTCTCAGTGTATGCAGGTTACGGTAGTCGACTTCTATTGGGTGGGCTATAAGAATATCTGTGATTTAATATAAAAACCTGTTGTTCAGATGCAATTTTGGATTAGTTTCAAGGTTGCAATATGCCGCTATCAAACAAAGGTTCAAAGTAGACATGACGTAATCCTTACTAATATTGTAAATACGAAAGTAACTCTGTCTGTCTGTCTGTCTGTCTGTCTCGCTTTCACGCCAAAACTACTGAACTGATTTAAATGAAATTTGGTACCCATATAGTCTAGACGCCGAGGAAGGACATAGGCTACTTTTTAATGCGAAAAAAGGGTTGTAAGGGGTTGAAAATGGTAATGCAAGGTTATCTTTATGCGGTTGAATACACACTTATTATAATAATGGCTTAATTAAAAAATTTGATATTTTGGAAAGTCTACTTTATAATTGTGTTATTAAGTCTATTTTCAAAAATTTTTAATTTCTGAATTACACCAGTATTGTACTAGATATGCGACTTATTAACGCTCATATGTCATAAATAAACATATATGTCATTTGTATAAGTTGCG